ATTCTTATAGTCTGTTTGTCATAACCAAGGTAAAACCTCCTCCTCTCCATCACGATTCTGAAATCAGAAGTTGGATTTGTGCAAAGAGATTTGCTCACCATTTATTAAGTTTTATTGTGCCAAAGTGAGAAGAAACAATTATTATACTTTTAAAACCTCAATTTATACGGAATTATCAATTATCAATAATTTCAAATTCTTATAGTTAGTCTGTTCATAGATATAAGAAAATGTCTAACAGATACGAATTAAGGATAGACCCGGGCAAGCTGTAAGAATGAAATATGGCCGAACAGGTCCGTACTTTGCTTAGAATTTAATTATTTGGGGTTTTGTTAGGAAAGATACTAAACAATATTTATTTATTTATGTATGTCTTTATGTTTAAATCTAAAATAAAATTACAAATTCTTTTTATTACCTACTTAAATTACTTACAATTATTCACATAATATATAATATCAGTATCACTATTGCCTGTTCTAATTATTATTTGTTCTATATTATACAATTGTTCTGCTTTTTCTATATGTTTGCCCAAATTTGTGGAGGGATGTTAAAAACCGCGGTTTATATAAGTTTACCCCCTTTTCTGGGGTATCATAAGTGTCGAACCAGGTTTCATCCAAGTAAATAATTGGCTTTTGTTCTCTGTAAATCCTAATTTTTTCTAGATATTCCAGTCGCCATTTCCGAATTCTGAAAGATCCCATTAAACCTTGCCTTTTGTCAATTTTTTTAAATCTAAAACCCATGTGTTGAATACACTTCCATTTAACACCGGTTTCATTTTTTTCAAGCCTCCTAATTAAGATATTTAATGTAGGCACGCCTTGTTCCTCGTATAACGGGTAAATTTCACGCCGTATTATATATTGATCACTTTCATCTACACTCGAGAAAATGTCACCATCGCTTCTTTTTTTCCTCGCTGAAATGGGATTATTCACAATTTTCCATACAGTTGATGTTGGAATTTTCGTCAATGTGGCCGTTTCTTCTAAAGATGCTTGCTTGCTGGCACCACGTTCAATGAGAGTCAAATAAACATTGTTTATAACTTCCTTAGTCTCAATAGAATAGTGTTTTCTACATTTGGGCGGGAGCATCTCCTGAGATACACTAGACTCGCACATATTTTGCATAATTCGCACACGATTCAACACACGCTGTATTACACACGAAATAAGAATGATTACTAATAAACTTAAACTAAGTAGTATACCAAACCAAAGAATATTAAACAGAGGTAGGTATAAAATTATTTTCTATTACCGACCACAATTTTACCTGAATTTAAATTCCGAAACTTTAGGTAATAATCTTCTTGCATTGTATGTTAATGACCACCCTTGGATAATCACATTCAACAGCAATTGGTCACTTTCTTATATCTATGAACAGATCATACCTAAAAATATAGTAAAGCCGTGTTAAGAAAATTTACTGCGATTCTGAAGGAGTTTCATCAGTTGACAAACGATTTTGAACATCTGCGGGTAGAAACATGCTTTGGAAAATGCGTTTTTATTTACTTTGGGGGTCGTTCGAATGCCCGTAATAAAAGGATCAGACTAAAGCAGCAACCTCTTAAATGTATCGTTGGTTTTCGTTCAGGAAACTTTTCAAGACAACCTTTCCGTATAGTTTTTTCTAACATTAAATTAATATTATTAACATCCTTGTCATTTGATAAAAGCTTTGAGTACTTTTATTGTCAGTACTCTGTTCTCAACTTGAAGGCTAGTTCTTTGTAGATGGTCAGATTGGCCTTCTATATGCTGTTTTTCTTTTAAAGAAACTTCTGGTCAAGGATTTTGTCTGATAATTTTTGTTGGATCACTGTTGGATAGATCTTTAGTAACCAATTTCTGCTAATATTCCCATATTTGCAAACTAAAAACCAAAGGCTCAGCTCATGGTCATCAAATTGAATCAAAATATCCTTTTGCATCATGGAAAACAGTCTTTATCATTTTCCCGAATTATGTCGTAAAGTTTTCTTCAAATAACACTGACAGTACCTTTGTTGGAGATAGCATTGATCTTTTACAATTATTGGTATTGTTCAAAGCACTTATGTATTTTGATGCTCTATTAGGACTAATTGAGAAGCTTGACGATTATCTGATTTTATGAATTGCATCTGTTGCATAACCTGTACTGTACTGTACTGTACTGTACTGTAGCCGTGCTGCCTGTTCCTTTTTGCAGAAGGACAAAATTAAAAATGGTTATTCTTACATATTCGAGATACTGTCATTTTGTACAAACATCGAAACAATCAACGACATATTGAAGTGTAATACGCAAAATTTCGCAAAAGATTTTAATTGGAAATCTTAATATGTATGACAGTCAACAACACTTCAGTGGAATATGACGGAATGTGTAACTTTTTAACAAAGCAAATTCACAAATGATAAAAACAAATCATCAAATAGGCAGCATCTTGAAAACAATATGCTTGCGCAGATTAATTCGCTTTTGCAATTATTTGAGTTTTACGAACAAGTAAACTACTTATTATTATTATTCTTGTTTTTTATATTTGAGTTTTCAACTTGAAACGTAATCACACCATAACAAAACAGCTTTGCCACGCGTCTGCTAACTGTAAGTGTATGTTTTTTCTTTCATGGCTAAGGTGATTTATTAAAAACCTCATAAAAATAATGATATTGAGCCAAACATCTGTTAGGAAAATGTCGCTCATTTCTTAGATACAGGCTTATTAATCACTTGAACTTATTTTTTAATTCGTTTTAAATAACCTTTTATTTATATTAATGGATGACAACGCTAATGTCAATGTGAATGACATGAACGAATGTCAATTCGAAATTGTTATTCTTTATGACCCAAGAAGTAGAAATATTGACATGAAAATAAATTCTGTTTTTTCTTATTTAATATGTAGAGGGTGTTAGTTACAGCCTATCTATAATCTCGCTAATTTATGTAGTAAATTTTTTAAATTATGGTATACTGATCTAATCAAAAAAAGTTATACTACAATTCTCTCTATGTTGTATTTCAAGTAAATCGCAAAAACAGTTCATTTAGAATAAATGGATCATGGATTCGAAATGAACGTTGACATTCATTAATCTAAATAAAAGATCTTCCACCGTTATTTTAAAACGGAATAAAAGATAATTTGAATTTGTTGATATGCCATAGGCATAATTAATAATGGCCAGTAATAAAAAGCTGCGTTAGTAAAATGTCATATTTGCCCACACCAAATTCGGAAAATACCACTTTTTGGCGAATTCCCTACGAACTACCCTCTATAATATATGAATTTCAATATTTACACACTGCTTTCAATTCCTTCGCAACGAGCTTTAAATTGATTTAACTTACTATAATCAGTGAGACAGGTCTGAGTACAATTATAAATCTCAGTCAAACGATTTATAAAAAAAACAATAGTATGATAAAAGTTAGTTCTTTATAATCCGGCTCGAAGGACCAAAAATGTTTGTCTGCGCGGAAACGGACTTCGGTCGCAGCTAGCACAGCAAGAAGTCGCAAAAAAATACTCAGGACGGGATCAAAAGATTTTTGATTACTTAACTGACCCTACCTTGGTCTTCCTTCCGGAGGGGCCGGCCCATGCAGCGTCCTCTGTGCCTCGGGTGGTGAAGAAATTTGTTGATCACCACGCGTATGGCCTGATGCGTTCAACGGCACTTTTTGAATCACACGATGAGAGCGACCGATTTAGCGCTTCACCGTGATTTTTAGTGGAGCATGCGCCTAAGGATGCTGGCGGGTATAGATGGCCAGTTAAGCTCAAGACTTTAATACCGCGAAGAAACGAAGAAGAATAACTTCTTGGTGCTGTACTCGCAGCCAATAAATAAGTTATAGGTTTATATATGTTGCAGTCAAAGCATTCATTTAGTAAATGTATACATTTACTAGCCAATGCATACATTTGCTAAACTCCGTAGTTAAAGTATTCATTTTAACCGAAATGAACACATTTGCTAGTGGATGTAGGCATTCACGGACTGCTTCTAGTCAAAGTGGGAAGTGGGTTAAATTTACCGGGAAACCTAAAACCTAACCTCTTTATTCGTGCTGCACCGTTTGCTGTTTGTTGTTTTTCCGTTTGAGATTCTTGGTAAGTGAATTGTTTAAATTGTATATGTCCAGAGTAATTAATAATTATTAATTATTTTTTTAGTTATAAATCTAAAATGGATAAAGAAGCGATGAAAGTTAAATTCTACGAATATATTAACAATACTCCAGAAAAAGCTAACGGCTTTGGTATAACTGCGGAAAGATATACAAAACTAATAAATGATGTTAAATCCGCTAAATCTGCTAAGAAAAAAGAAAATCGTCACTTCTGGTTACTAAAACATTATCATATAGTGTATGTATGTAATGTGGATAAACTAATTGCACCAATAGCAAATGAAAAAGTGCTGTATTATGTTACTGTTGAAGAATTGTTTGAAGTTTTATATGGAACTCATTTATCAATAGGACATGGTGGACGAGACAGAATGAAAAAGGAACTTAACCTTTGCATTAAAAATATAACAGCACAAGATATTCAAACATTTTTAAATAATTGTGAAGTGTGCCTTAAAAAAAGGGCGAATGAAAAGAAAGGCTTGGTGGTTAAGCCAATGGTGTTTTCTCATTTTAATTCAAGATGTCAAGTAGATTTAATTGACTTCCAATCACAGCCAGATGATAAATTTAAATTTATATTGATATACCAGGCCCGCTTAACAAAGTTAAAGTGTTCATTCCAATAAAATGGGAAGTGAATGTATACATTGACTGGAATGTACACTTTGACTGCAACATGTTCGTAGAGAATGTAATGATTTTCTGCGCATGCCTCGACAATTCACCTGCACACTAACCTGCACTTTGATTTCCACAAACATAGCTCAAGCTGACTGGTTAAACACGAGATTTTAAATATCGCGCATGCGTAGTGTTTAAAATGATAAAAAAACGTATTTCAGGAATTGCTTGCTGGAATCCCGCCTTTGATGTAACTCCAGCTAGTCTGATCGCAGGAATCATTACCGAACACGGCGTGTTCAGGCCGGAACAGCTTAAAGAGGAATTCACCGATGCCAGTACTTGAATACTTTGTGATGAGAATGGAAAAAAAGTGAAACTATTTTTAGACGATTTTTACTTTTTACCAAGTTTGGAGTTATACAAATTTTTGTTATTCGCTTTTCAATATATTTAACCGGGATTTTGTAACAGGAACTTTTATTTATAGCTTTTTTTCTAAAATGTTGGAGAAATAAAATGTTAACCTCTATTCGGGTGATTTTGTCAAGTTTCGTCGGTGATGAATGTTCTCATATATATATTTTTTGAGGTAATAAATGGTGTCTAAATTTGGCTTTCCGATTTAAATTTACCGCCATTTCTAATAATAGCTTTTCTTCCCAGAATAAAATAACTGCTTTAAAAAGTTTCAGGTTAGTTTTGGTCGTTCTTTGTCAACATTTTTATTTAAAATGAGGAACGAAATGTATTTCGGGATGAAATTTAACACCTACGCTTTAATATTGAAAAATTTTCGTGTGGTGGGTCACTAGAAGTTATGAACAGAGGTTCAATTGTGTGATATCCAGAGTTTTTAATTTAATAGCCTTATAAAATACAAGTCTACTTTTTTTTACCCTGGATAGTACATTTCATTCCAAAGCTGAGAAAAATAGCAATTCAAATATAGTATGGAAGCTCTTACAAAGATAGTTGTCAAAAACCGGTTAGCAGTCCTCTGACTTCGTTTTGACTTACCCAAAACCATAAGTCACACAACACACGTTGTCCTTGCTGCTCCATGCTCAGTGTTGCCATACATGTGCAATATAAACGAATCACATTTTTAATAAAATGAAAACAAATCATATATAGATTTCAAGGATAATCATGCATTATGCATTTTCTTTTGAAAGGAAAGAAAAACAATATAAAAACGAAACTTCCACCATTTTTGAAATGCAGATTCAGATGCAGATGCATTCTTATCTTCGACACACCGTAGGTCGACATAAAGCATAGTACTGCTTGTAGTTTATCAAAATTTTAAAACTTCAGTAAACATTTTTGTAAATGTAGAGTAACGTAGTAAACTATCAAATCTGCAAGAAGTTGTGGTTACTCTTGATTGCCGGATATAGTGATATACTTTACCCCATTTACATCAAATAGCATTACATAATATGGAAGCCGTTAATAATATAAAACTGATGCACCCTAAAAGACTATCCCCTTTTTGATAAAGGAGGGAAATTTTACTCATTCACCTATACAATTTCAGTGATAGCCTCACATTTAACTTTTTTTTCTGAAAATTTTAGGAAATCTGGAAATATTTTGACGAAATATTGCCGAAAAATGCCACATGTAAACGGGAATTGTAGAATTGAGCTGTCAGCGGCCATGTTGACTCTTCAATGACATGTTATTGGTTCTCTTGAAATTACATTGGTTGAAAACGAGATCTGAAGTAGTCGCCTCCCCGCATATTGAGTAGCCTTTATCATGGCAGTGTTATGTTGTGGGAAACCGAGTTAAGTGTACGAATATCGCTCTGTAGAAAGAAAATGGCGTAAAGTTTAGGTTAGTGAGTGAAATGGAGAGGTATTCAACCATAGCCACCTGAGGCGCATCAACTTTTATGTTATTGGAGCTACTATATTATCTAATATTTATGTGGTTATCAGGCTTCGATAAAATTACTAGCTATATATGTTATGGCATTTTGGTATTTTACGAAATTCCTATTCGGGCTAATGGGCGATTCTATTTTTTAATTATATTTATGTTTATATGCAGCTCCTAGATAGAGATGCCTTGGTTATGCTGATAATACGGGCACTTTGGAAGTCAATATTAAACAATATTGTAAAGGACATTCAATTTGCGCATGCGCGGTCACTTGAAATCTCGTTTTCAACCAATAACAAACCATCCAATAAAATTTTCAATTCGCTTTCACTGCCCGTCATTGCAAATCTCATTTTAAAACAATAAGGTTTTGTGCAATCAATAAACATAGCTGCTGAAAGTTTTATGTGGGACTTTTCGACACTATTTTCTTAAAATCGCTTTAAATTTTTGGGGAAAAAACTGTAAAGTGTTTGGGGCTCGCTGTTTTTAGAAATTTAGAATCAATTTTACGGTATTTGTGTTACGCTGATGTTGGTTTCTTGATAGGCCCACTTGCAAGCTGCAGAAATAAGTCAGTTATATTTTCCTGTGGTTAATTGTGGAGCTTTGCGTTGAGATAATGACATTTTCACAATTGATTAAAATTCGTAACATGGAGCAAATAAGCAGCCTTTCTTCACAGATGTGACGAACCGCCAAAGATATTAAACCCAAAGTAGACACCAAAATTCGTTCATTAAATGAATAGAAACCGTCACTCCACATGGTCATGATTTGGTTAGGTAAGTTAAATGTAACCAAAATGTAACCACTACAATTCGAATGGAAAGTGATGACTTCATCGTATTATTTTGGACCGTCCGTTTTGGACTGAATTTTTTTAGTAAACGCGCAATAAGTTTTTTTTTGGAAAAGTATACGTCCATCTACTGAGAGAAATTTATTAACTTGAATAAAAGAGTTATGTCATAGAAATGTCAATAACGGCTTATTTAACTATGTTTCTCGGTCATCTACCCTGTATAACTATTTATTTATATTGAAAATTAAAGTAGATTTATTAGGTATGAGTGTCTAGTCATATAGCTACTACTACTACTGGCTATGCTGGTAATATATGAAGTTATGAAGATACTATAAAAACACTTTGAGAAGGCAGTTTAACTAATGATCTTGGGCCATTCAACAACCAACATGGCCGCTGACAGCTCGCCATTTTTACGGCAGCATTTTCTCAAAATATCTCAAAGTGCAGGTGAGTGCGCGAATTGTAGAGGCATGCGCAGTAGATCATCCCCATAGTAACGAAAATATAGCCAACCGAGGTGCATCAGTTTTTGCCTTAGTCGGGTCATTATAATATTATGTAACAACTATATGTCGTGTTCAGCGGCATAAAAAAATTAAGCTGTTGCTTGAAAAGCAAGAATCACCGAGACCAGTGTGCTTATGGTCTGATTGGAGGATGTAATTTAATTTTTATGTAAGAAAAGAATTAAAAAAATTGTTTTAGGCCACTTACACATATTTATTGCTCCTATTAAAAGTTTTTTTTAATAAAAATAACATTTTTTTTGGGATGTGACATGATTAATGGTCTCTCTTCAATTTCCGGCTAAACAAAATGGTGTCTAATTATTTTCAGATTTGCAAAAGCCCTGTCAAAATGACAACAGTAGTCGTTCTACAGCTTCGTATTCTGAACAATTTTAAATTTTACTAATTCGTGGAGCTTGGGTGGAAGGCATTTTAAGGCAAAATAAACACCAAAGGCAAACAAAAACCAAAATTATTATAAAATAGCTGACACCAGGATCAGATTTAACAAAACCAAAATATCTAATTTGAACATGGTAATTGTCTACTACGTTTGCAGTTATGAAACCCAGGTAAATAAATCTCATGTTACATAGTGTGATGTAACAATTTGCAAGTTTCATGGGTCATTTCAACAGTCGCTATACCGGGGGACTGTCGGGTCACACACCTATATTTTTAGTTGGTTATTGATTTCGACATGTTTTTTATATACATCATCAAGGGAGTATATACATATACAGTATACATCTCACAAGAGAGTTACTTGAACAAATAATTGGACATCGAAATATTTCGCTACTCTATTTTTTAGACAATTAAAGAGTTTTCTGTAAAATGTTCTTATGGCGGCAACATTCGCATAGACGTAATATACTCAATAGGATTATAAATTCTGATAGTTGGTACAGGTTGGCCCAATTATAAACATCATAAATTGTATAAAATAATAAATGTATAAAATTGTATAAAATAATAAATGAACGTACTTCGGTGATGAGTAAGGTCACGATGTTATGTTATGACCGATGATGACAGGTAGTAGGCAAGTAGGTTAACGAGTTTATTGTATTCTGTACTAAATAAGTTCGTCTAAAAACGAAAAGTATGCTAGGGTAAGATCCTTGTAGCATTACCTCTCATAGTTGGGTAATAATTTAAAGTTCTTTTAAGCCGAAAAGCTTTTATTATTATTATTTTCCATTATTTGTACGTTATTTTAAGTTATTTACTTTAAGGTAATAAACAATACCTAATCTTAGGATTAGTTTTAATTAGATATTTAAGAGAAAAGTACATACAAGTTACAAATTTGATTTAAAAAACAATTTGATTTTAACGAGAGTCTCAAATAGGAGAATATAAACACAAATAAATTATCCCCATTTTACATAGGAATATTCCGACATAGTTTTAAGTTAGTAGGTACCTCATAAATTAATACACTCTAAATGACAGTATTTCAATTTTTTCATTTAAAGATATATTAGTTATTAGTTATTATATATTAGTTCACTTTCAGTATCGCTTTCTGAATCCAGTCAAATTATTATGGGCTCTATTTCATTAAAAATTGTTTTGTTATATCACTATAAAATAATTTCAATGGTGTGTTCCGCACAGCTTTTCCTAACCTCGGGTGCACCTTGCAATGGAGTTTCATTCCACAGAGCTAAAACATTTAACTACCTAATAAATATGTCGCTATTCATATTTCCACAGTAATCTAAAGATTTGCACTTGAAAGAAAACGCCAAGTTTGCTCCATCAACAAAACCTACACGGAAGACAATAAATACATTGCTTAAAAGTCCAGTGGTCTTCTTACACTTTTTAAACATTGGTTTCTTCTACAAGATATCTTCGGTAATCATCATTTTTTAATTTAAAATCTATACTCTCTGTAAAGAACTATTGTTGATAAAAGCAACTTCTTCATCATAGACTATCTTGCATGGTTATAATTGATTACTTTCACTATACATTTCTTATACCGTGCCTCGTATATTAAATTTAACTGTATCAGTTAAATCAGTCGTCTTGGTTTTTTTCAGGGTCTCTTCTTTCCTGCCGACTTTATTAGGTTATCATTGGATTTTAAAAGCTGTTTTATTCTTTTAACAGTTAGAACCAATTACTAATCAAATACCTAATATCGGTGGTAATAAAGGTCCTCTATTATCCTCTTCTTGTTGGAAATAATTTAGCTAAGCCTCCAGTGGTACCCTTCGATTGAGAATTAAGGGTTTTACCTTTCATAGCAAAAACTTATTTAACTAAAAATTAAAAAAAAAAACCGTCAGTTGAAAACCAGGCTTTTGCTTGCGTATATTTTAAAGCGCAACGTAGGGTTTTACACAGTGTTAAGGGTTGAATAACATTTTTCGGTAACTTCA